ATATTTACTTCTTTTTTTGTTATATACAAAGACTGTTCTGAGTTCATACATGAAGGCTACTAATATAGTTTGCACCAACATTTGCAGTTCTCTTGTTGGTCTCTCTTCACATAGAACATCTGGTAGGGTTTTATCTTGACAGCATCCCTTGTCTTCATCTTGATCTTGCGTTGTAGGCCTTTTCCTGCGAGAAGTGGGCTGAAACAGACTGCTCAGTTGCCTTTGTCCCAATTCGGACTTTGGGAAAAACTTTCATGTATCTCCAGGAAAGCATCCATGTCATCTTTCTGCCCATCAAATTTGGGTAGCTTAGGTCGGCTGGCCTTGATCCTAATTGTCATTTTTGGATCCTTCATTTTTCTGTTGGATGAGCTTCGCAATCTCAATTTATACTCTTATTTTCTTGTTTCAGTCTCTCCTTTTCTTCTTTCTCCATTTGTTCTCTTACTCTCTCTCTCTCTCTGTTTCTAGTCTTTTTTCCTCTCTCTTTTGTTGACACTCTTCTCTCTCTATTTCTTCTTGTTAACAGACTCTCGAAGAGCACCATATTTTTAGCTCAAGTCGCTCACTTCTCTCTATCTATTTATATAGCGAGATTGTAATCTCTACACTATTTTCGCTACCACTACAACTGCTCGTATATATGCCTAACCCTATATAAACGTTCACGTTTTCTTTTACCACCATATAATCCTGGCTGGCTCGCCAAATGTCAGGTTTTGTGTATGGCTGGATTTTTTACAGTAGGTGTCTGTGACTTGTTGGCAATAAATTTCAACAATAAAAAGACAATACATCATCTAATTGTTTTAGAATATATTCAAAACAAGTCAAACGTATGTAGAAAGATTCGTGACACTATTGGTTATCACACTTGTATCCAGAGTTTAACTAATTGTCTCTTTTTTTTTTTTTGTCAAAGTCCACACAGGCAGGTTCAATTACTTTAGGACACTATTTGAAAAGACAAATTATTCTTTATCTCTGTTGTTACAATACAGTCTGCAATTGTAACACTTTAGAAGTCGCCACTCTTTAGGGCTAAACTTACAAACACAGTCTAGAACTATATCTCTCACTAACTTTGTCTAACTTTCACTAACTTCTTTTTTTTGCACTCTGTATCTACATATATTTATAACATATGGCAGAAAAATCCACAGATATCTAGACCTCTAGTAACAACAATATTAGACACTAGCCAAAGTACCGGCATGGCTCGGGTTATTAGATTGATATTTTACTGGTCGACTGTGTCTATGTGTGTATTTTGAAACTTTTTAGATATGAGGTACAGCCGAAAATCTTTTCAAAGACTGTTTTTTTTCTCAGAAACCTATAGCAGTCATATATTATATTGTGTAATACAATTTTTTGCTGTAAGTTATGACTTATTTATTTACATCTTAGTACCTTTATCAGTGCACTGAGAATTTCACATCACAATTTATCACAGTATTTTCCAAATTCTTTATCCTTGCAGTGTCTCAGGATGAACAATGTTGGTTGTTTCCCATATGGTAAAAAATTTACACATACTGTTCATTCAGCAAGTGAGAATTAGAAAAAAAAATGATACTCTTCTATAGACCTTCAGGAAGCAGAATTATGGGGCTTAAGAGCTATAGGGCAAAAAACTGGTCAATTTTTTTTTAGTCAGATCTAAAAAATAATATCCAGGTGCGCACCCCCAGAAGCGCCTTAGTATGCAAACAAAGTTTCAGGTTTCTATATTCTTTTCTCTTGGAGTTATGGTGGTTGCACGTACACATACAGGCTCTTTTATTATTATAGACTAATGAAAGTACCAGGCTTCACTCGGGTTATTTTCTTGATATATTCTAGATGACTATGTCTGTGTGTGTATTCTGAACCTATTTTAGAATAAAAGTATAACCTATTGTTACGACAGCGGAAGTCACGTGAGACTAGTAACATGTCATGAGATTCTCGAAGGATCTTGACTTTTCCTGGGAACTCTAGTCTTTTCTAGGCGCCCTCTATTTTAGTATATAAGCCCAGCAAATAAATCGGAGAGATAATAGCAGATAGAGATATATAGAGACAGATAATTGAGTCAAGCGAGCAGTAGTGACTGTAAGTAAAATGCGTGAATCGTTATGAATTATAGCGTGTGTTTAAGTTAAAGTGACTGTGGAAATTCTGTATACTGCAAAGTTGTATTGAGAAGAATAAACCAGTTTTATTTAAGAAAGGACTTGTATCGCTGAAGTTTCTTGGAGAGAATTTTTACGGGAATTAACAAACAAGCAGATACGTAACACTATATACTTTTCTAGGTGGTTTTTCACTAGCTTGCCTTATTAAAAAAAAGGTGCACGAGTATGCACATGGATAAATAATACCTAGTAACACCCTCAGTAGGGGTGCAAAATTTCAGGTGTCTAGATTCTTTCCCCTTGGAGCTATGGCAGTCATGCTACTTTTCTATGTGGTTTTTTGCTATCTTGCCTCATTAAAAATATGTGGATGCACATGGATAATAATACCCAGATGCACACTCTCAGTGTCCATTTAGTATGGATGCAATATTTCAGGTTTTTAGGTTCTTTCCTCTTGGAGCTATGGTGGTCACACATATGCAGACACACACATGTGCATGCACATGTCTCTGTGATTCCTATTGGTAATATAAGGAACCACTTCTTTTCTATGTGGTTTTTTTGCTACCTTGTCTCATTAAAAATATGTGCTTGCACATGGATAACTAATACCCAGATGCACACTCTCAGGGTCCACATAGTATAGGTGCAAAATTTCAGGTGTCGAGGTTGTTCTTTCTTCTTCGAGCTATAGTGGCCACAGTTCTTTTCTATATGGTTTTCACTAGCTTTTTTCACAAAACAATGCGCATGCGCACACCCACTGGGATAAGTAATATTACCCAGTTGCACACCCTCAGTATGGGTTTCTAGGTTCTTTTCTCTTGCTGCTATGGTGGTCACACACACACACACATACTGTATGTGATTTCTATTTGTAATATAAGGAACCATTTCTTTTCTATGTGATTTTTTGCTAGCTTGCCTCATTAAAAAAATGCACACACGCACGTACATAGATAAGACAATACCCAGGTACACTGTCTTAATATGAATGCAAAATTTCAGGTGTCTACATTCTTTTCACTTGGAACTATGGCAGTCACACTTCTTTTCTATGTGGTTTTTTGCTAGCTTACCTCATTATAAAATGCGCACGCACGTGGATAAGTAATACCAAGATGCACACCCTCAGTATTGGTGCAAAATTTCAAGTTTCTAGGTTCTTTCCTCTTGGAGTTATGGCAGTCACACAGACATGCCCTTTTATTATTATGAATAAAGAGAAAGATAATGTCAACAATTTACAAAAGTCTAGTACAACAATTAATCTACATTCATAACGTACCACTCATGCAGAGTTACATAACGAAACTTGTCATAACTATCGCTTTTAAAATAATTAACCTTTAACACTATTGTTATGAAAACTAAATAATAATTTTCAAGCTGAATTTTGTATATCCAACAAAACTAAATAATAACTTTTGAACTAAAGTCTTGTATATCCAACAAAATACATATATAATGGATGAATAAAATGTAATTTATTTAATGCTACAAGTCTAATAGCTGTTGTACTACAAGTTATCAAAATTGTTCTTCATTACAGTCATTGTGCATTTGTTTTGCACATAATAGTGCAAAGTCATGACTAAGGTCAATATTCTGGGGAATTGCTTTTTCTCTGGATGCGGGTAAAGGTAGTAGCCAGAAAGAGTCCTATCAAACAAAAAATCAGAAAGAAGTACAGTTGTCTTAAATTAAACATGATAAGTAAAAGAAACTGGTAATAATTATCCTAAACGTAGTATAGGAAAATTCTTTTGATTTTCATACATTTACAGCAAGATAACAAATGTACCAAATGCGAGATTAATTCAGGATTAGTTAACAAGTTCAACTCTTAACAAAAGAACTTTCATTTTTTGTCAACTTGATAATGTTAAAAATTTAAATAATTAATGGTTATTTGACATGTGATCATAAGTTTTCTACATAAAAAACTTGGTTTTACATCTTATCAATTTTTAGGTGCTATTCACTAGGTCTGATATTATAATTAAATTGTGTGCACTAACATGTTATTTTTTATAATCTACAAATCCAAATTTAACCAGAGTAACTGCTTCAAAGAACTGAAATGAAAGCTTTAAAACAATGTGCAAGTTTTCTCAAACATTTCATCATCTTAGAAACATGATAAAGGGAATTATATAGTTATTTTTAAATAACATTATATTCAGAATGTTGTTAAAATTATATTCAATAATAAAAAAGTGATAGTAGTATTTCATCAACATCTGTTCTCAAGTAGTGTATTATTTTCATAGAAATTGTGTAATTTTCTTCTGTATGTTTTCTAATGTCTTTCATAAAGATCTACACTTTTATTTTAAGTTGAAAAGCTTAATTGTTGGAATATAATATGGTTAGTAGCTGATGAAACATTAAAGACTGTTTATACATAATCCTATTGTTTGAAGTTATGCCAATTTCCTAAATATTAAAAAATCTTTACAGATTAAATTTATACATTTTGATACTATAATAGCAATACTACATGTAAAAGATGTTCTATCTACTAGAGCAATTTTATACCAATCAGTATAACAATTATCAATAACTTTTGGTTAAATCCAGCTAACTGTATGGATCAGAAATAAAAATTAACCTATCAACTATTGTAGTTTATCTTATATGCCAGTCTAATTATGATTATGTACTGTCATAAAATAAAAATTTATAATTCTTATAGTGTGAATGTCTTTTTCTGGCAGTGTGTGATTATAATCAATTATATTTATCACGAGACAATAGCAATATTTATGATTTCAGCATTAGGCTTATTGTATTCTTTTATATACTTTATTAGTTATTCAGCCCCACAGAGTCTTTCTAAGAAGTGTATATAAAAGCATTTCAAACACACACATCAGCAAAGGATATCAAATTTTTACTGATTTTTTGTTACAAAAAGTTCACAATACTACTTTGCAGTAACCTTCACATAAGCCAACTAATAAACAGTTAGCTTGTAGTAGGTGCATTTCTAAATTATAAAAAAAACTTTTCTTATACAATTATGTTAATAAAATAATTATATAAGAGGGTCAAGAAGAACAAAAATAATAATACAGTAGCATAATACAATCCAACTGCACAATAAAACCAGGAAATAAGAGCCAAGTTCCAGCATTGGTGATCTCATCTACTACATGAATCTTCCAACCCATGTTCCTGTCAGTATAACTCTGAAAACACGAACAGTATGTGTTGTAAAATACAGACTTCATTCTTTTTTTTTTTCAGAATACTCTACATACATTACTACAAGTAGGTAATAAGTGCCCTGTTCTAATTTGATTACTTTTTATAAATAAAGAATTGAATTAGCAGTATAAATGTATTGTGCTGAAAACTTTTTCCCTTCAACATAAACACATCATATTTTATATACTGATTTGTTTCTTCTAATATGAAAATCAAAAAAACGTTCTACATTGCTTCGAGAGGAATTTAAGACTCATCTAAATAAATTTACCATTCCTAGCCTGTTAAAAGAAATAAACATTCTTACACTGGGTTTAAAGAGATAATGACATAATGTCTGTTTATTTATATCTCTCCTAACTTGTAAAAATTTAGTAAACGTCTTTCATAACATGTAAAGAAATCTGAAATACTATCAACACTGTTTAGAGAGATAATTAACAATACCAAAATCAATTAATTACCTCTCTCATCAACTTCTAAAAAATGGGATACCTTCTTATATTATTTAGAGACAATTAAGAAAATATATACTTAAACTGACTGACATCTCCTAACCTATAATAAATCCAAAAAACTTTTTATAGTGAATATAGAAAAGTAGATATATTACCAAACATGCCATATATTTTTATATACACCTGGAAAAAAGTTAAGCACCCCCGTGTTTTTTCAAGTGATTCAGATTCGACGTTCTTGTGACTGATTATAAATTACCA